AACTATGATTTTACAAACTAACATATATGTAAAAAAATAAATTCAAAATGACTGTTGAATTCAAAATGACTTTTAAGTTGAAAATTTTTATAATACGTACATCTTTTTAAAAATTCTATAATACGTTCGTCTTTTTGTTTTTTGTTTTTTGTTTTTTTGATAAAATATAATACATGCACATAAAAAAGCTACGTACCATACGTTGAATTCTAATTTTTGTACTTTTTGTTATGATGAATTATGGTATTTGTTATGACTTTATAGGACAATGGTTAGTTATGACTTATTATGATTATTATTTTGATTATAATCGAACGCGTCTTGGGTTATAGGTTAAGTGTTGTTAAGTTACAATATTGGTTATGATTCATTGTGATTTTGATTATGATCTATTATGATTATTATTTTAATTATGACTGAAAAAATTTTGTTATGCCTCAAGTAACATTTAGTTATGATTCATTGTATTTTTTTTAATTGTGTTTTAAAGCGATTTACTTATAACATTTGTGATATAACTACCACAAATTATCATAATTTACATAGAGTACACACCTTAAAAAAGTATACATTGTAAATGACCCAATTAAATTTTAGAAATACATAAAATATTGTGAATTTAGTAAAAATAAATAAAAAAACTCCACTTTCCCAGGATCTTCGTCCCCATGCCCATCCCACGACCTTTCCCTCACTTTTCTACTCCCTTTCATTTATTTATTTTATTATATTAATTACCCAACTTCCTAGCAGCTTCTACCATGTCCAAATGTCTACCCGTGGAGTCTCATTCACATTTGTTGCAAGAGACAATTTTATGTACAAAGAAGTGTCGAAGCTTCCAGGATAAATCATAAAGCAACAGGTAAAATATGTAATCATTTTCTCTCCTTTTATTTTTAATTTAATGTTTTTTTTTTTCCTCAGTCTTTCCTTTTACATATATGGTTAGATATAGTTACATCTCCAATAAAATATTCACTGCGCCAAAACAGGGCATTAACGGCGATTTTTGTTACCGCTGTTAAAGATACTATTAACGGCGGTAACAAAACTGTCGTTAATACCGCCGTTAATGTATCTTTAACGGTGGTTTCGTTACCGCCGTTTAAAAAACCGCCGCTAAAATATCTTTAACGGCGGTAATGAAACCGTCGTTTAAAAAACTGCCACCAAAGCCCTCTTTTAACGGTGGTAACGAAACCGCCGCTAAAGCCCTCTCATTACCGCCGTTAATGACGACGGTCTTTGCCAGCGGAACTCCGGCGAGTGGTGACCACGCACGGCCAGAGGTTGAACATGACCATCTACAATAAAGCAAAAGTAATGTTTAAATATTTATTTAGGAAATATATTTCATATAGAGTTGTTGTGGTGGAGTGGTTGGTGTGCGTAGATTAGAGGTTAAGGGTTCGAGACCTGGGGGGTGCAAGAATAGAGAATTATTTTTTAAAAAATTTGAACCTATTTATGGCGGTAAAGAACCACCGTTTTTGGTCCTATATTACTGCCGTTTTTGGTCTACTTTTAACAACGGTAATTTACCCTTTTACGACGATTGTACCTTTTCCGACACGAGTATAAACGGCGGTCCTAAATTACCGTCGTTAAAGGCTTTAACAGCGATTTTACATCCTTTAACGGCGGTAAAAAACCGTCGCTAAAGCCCAATTTTGGCGTAATGATATATGATGCCTTGACAAATAGCATTCATCCCACCCCAGAGCCATTCTTCTAGTCTTAATTCTTTGTGTAGCTTTAATCCAATGGAGATTGTCCTTAAAATAGAGTGTGTATTATGTTTGACAAAATAACATTGGCAGAAAAAATCATAATATAGAAAAAAATCTCATTTAATTTTTTCTACATAGGCCCAAAACCTTTAGTTATGATGTTGTCGATAGCCTCTAATTTACTAATGAAAATTGTTTCAAATCATGTTAGTGGTGGTGGTGCGGGTGGTAGCGGTAGCAATAGCGATGGTAGTAGTAGTGTTGCCATGATGGTGGTGATTGTGGCGACGGTGGCAGTAGTGGCGGTGGTGGCATGGTAGTAGATCGGTGATAGTGATAGAAGTAGTGGTGGTGGTTGTGTTGGTGATAGTGGTAGTGGTGGCGGCGGTGGCGGTGGCGGTGGCGGTGGCGGTGGCAGTGGCAGGGTGGTGGTGGTGATAGTAGTAGCGGTAGCGATGGTGGTGGTGGTAAATTTATAATAGTGTATATCAATACTTATATTTAGTATTTATAAATTCAGTTACAATTAAGTAAGTTTCAGATGATTTTAAAAAAAAATTAAGTTTTAGCCAATATTTTAAGAGACACTTAAGTGATATCAATTGTGATTGTCAAATGGATTTAATTAATTATTACTTAATACATTAAGTTTTAAATACTGAATCATGTTATCAAACACCCAATCTTATTAAGTTTTAAATACTGAATCATGTTATCAAACACCCAATCTTCTTTTCCCTATTTTTTTGTTGGCCTTACTATGCCGTGGACCGTGGTGTATCCAAATGAATAAGTCTATCCCATATTAATGATTTTACTAAAAATTTTACCAAAAATACAAATTATTAAATGTGATTGATTGTGAAAATAACAATAATATTTTTACGTCGAATGATATGTGGACATAGATGCTTTTAATAGAATTGTTAGTAAAATTTTAAATAGATATAGCATTGCTCGTATCCAAATATCCCATATGAGTAAATGAATTCCAATAAAAACAATTTACGTTTGGAAAATTTATTTTAAAGGTCTCACTTTCTCACTAGCTTCATCCATCCATGCCTGTCTCACTGTACCCCCATCCCAATAAAAACAATTTACATTTGGAAAATTTATTTTAAAGATCTCACTTTCTCACCAGCTTCGTCCATCCATGCATGCCTCACTGTACCCCCATTTGCACTGTCTCTAATCCACGATCCCATTCACATTTGGTGCAAAAGAATGCAAAAATCACACATATTTTTTATTTTTATTTTATTTGTTTTTAATAAACTTTTTATATATATATATTTTAGTAATTGTAAAAAAAATTCAAGTATCTAGATTAAGTACATTTTAAAAGTAAAAAAAAAAATTAAAATGTGAAAAAGGTTACTAAAAAATTGAATTTCAAATTTGAAAAATCAAACAAGAGAGAATCCAAATTTTCAAACCTACCTCATACGCTAATGCTTATGCGTGAACAATGATGCATTTTTATTAAGGCATACCACACTTCGCTCTGTTTGGTAAGAGATTTTTTGGTTTAAAAAAAATTAAAAAATCACAAAAAAAATTCAAATTTCAAATTCAACTCTATTAGCAAAATGTCAAATCATACAGATTAATCAATCAAATTTTTTTTCACAACTGTCTATTTAATTAAAAAAATAATTCTAAATACATTTTTTTATCTCATAAAAAAAAAAAATCACTAAAAACCTAAGTTGGAAGCCGCCTCTTAGAAGAACGATTAACGCCAACCATTTGTATGAATCAGTGGCTACCTAATTGGCATAGTTAACAATAGAAAACAAAGTTTCAATAAACAATAACTATTCACAAATATAAAAAAAAATATTACATCAAATTAACTACTAATTAAATAGTATTTAAAAAGTCAACACAGTCACCAAACCCAACTACCTAGCCCAAACTTAAGAATAAATAAACAATTATAAACAACCTCACAATGAGACAAAAATAAATACCACAAAGAATTCAAATCCTTTTCTATTGTATATTATTTGTTTTACCACCATTTCATATTATTAAGAAATGAAAAAACATTATTTAGTTTCAAGAATAATTATTTATAAACAAGGAATCAATTATGAATATCCACTTAAATAGTTATTCCAAAGGATCACAGAAAATGGGTGACATATAGCAATATTTGTTTTTAAATAATAGAGCAATGATTGAATTGGTTTAGGGCATTTTGGTTTAAATTAAACAAATGAAGGTGGGTAGATTGGTTCATGATTTTCCAAAGGATAAGAATTTTTAAATAATTGTAAGGACACGATGTGTTAATTTGGTCCTTGTAGTTTCAATTTGCTCGGTTTTGTCCCTTAATTTAATAGATTGTGTCATTTTAATCTAATAAATAACGATTGTTAAGTTAATTTAACGGAAAATCAAACAATGTGTCAATTTGGTCCCTGTATTTTCCACAATATGTCAATTTAGTCCCTGTCAAAATCGAGAAAATTAAAACTACAGGGACCAAATTGACACATCGTGTAAAGTACAAAGACCAAATTGACACATTATTTGACCTTCTGTTAAATTAATTTAACAACCGTTATTTATTGGACTAAAATGGCACAACCCGTTAAATTAAGGGGCAAAATCGAGCAAATTGAAATAATAGGGACCAAATTGACACATCGTGTAAAGTACATAGACTATTTACATAATTTACCTTAGTAATTAAAAAGTCAACACAGTCACCAAGCCCAACTACCTAACCCAAACTTAAGAATAAATAAACAATTATAAACAACCCTCACAATGAGACAAAAATAAACACCACACAGAATTCAAATCCTTCTCTAGTGTATATTATTTGTTTTGCCACCATTTCATATCATTAAGAAATGAAAAAACATTATTTAGTTTCAAGAATAATTATTTATAAACAAGGAATCAATTATGAATATCCACTTAAATAGTTATTCCAAAGGATCACAGAAAATGGGTGACATATAGCAATATTTGTTTTTAAATAATAGAGCAATGATTGAATTGGTTTAGGGCATTTTGGTTTAAATTAAACAAGTGAAGGTGGGTTAGATTGGTTCATGATTTTCCAAAGGATAAGAATTTTTAAATAATTATAAGGATAACAAAAGGTCCCACAAAAAATAATTTGGGGAAGACTTGGTAGAACATAAAGTCAGGAATTCTTATCAAGACACATACAAGCTTCCAGGAAAGACCATGTAAATTAAGATAGCATTTCTCTCATCGTTTTCTTACTTGGTACTTCATTTACAGGATTTCGTACTTTCAGAGATGACGATGGAATTGAAAGAGGGGAGAATATTAAGTTCGAATTGAACAAAGCAATTCAAGAGTCGAAGATTTCAATAGTTGTCTTCTCGGAGGACTATGCATCTTCAAGTTGGTGTCTTGATGAACTTGTCATGATCCTCGAACGCAGAAGGACTGTTGGACATGTAGTTCTACCTGTTTTCTATCATGTGGGTCCATCTCATGTGAGGAAGCAAAAGAAAAGTTTCAAAGAAGCATTTACGAGGCATGAAGAGAGATTTCGTGCTGAAGTGAGTGAAAGAAAAGTTGAATGGATTGGCAAAGTGGAAGAATGGAAGGCAGCACTTAGAGAAGCTGCAGATTTGGCAGGGATGAACTTACAAAATCAAACTGACGGGTAATTTCCTCCCAAGTCCTTTTCTTAGCTAAGTATTACTTGTATCACCATTTTTTGGATTTCGTAGATTAAAGTATTTCATACTAGGGCCTTCTGAATGAAGAATTATTTGTTCAAATTTTGGAATGAATTGTCTTGTTAATTATAACAAATTTACATAGTTTAGTTTTTGTAAGACAACCTTCAAACACAAAAGCATCCTACAAGTCAGTTTCCCAAACAAACAACTTGAATTTATTAACTCATGATTTTTTTAAGATGCTCCTTCTTTTCAAGTTATATGAAAAGATCACACGTAGCTATTCATTTCTTTTCATAGACATTTTATTGAAACAATTGTGCTGCGCAGCTTGAAAGAGAGATTCCCCAAATCCCCCGAATTCAAAACGACGTCGTTTCGTCGTTTTGATTTTTTTTTTTCAATAACTGGCAGAAGAAAAATCAGAAAAGAAGAAGAACAAAGAAGAAGAAGAAGAAGAAGAAGAAGAAGAGAGAGAGAGAGAGAGAGATCATCAACCACCCATCATCATCATCATCAACTACCCAACACATCATCATCATCATATCATCACAGATCGGAGGCGGAGATCAGAGATCGAAGGCCAGGCTGCGACGATCGGAGGATGAGGCAGAGGCGGAGGCGGCGGCGATCGACTCTCTCTCTATCTCTCCATTCCCTCTTCCCCTCTCTACTCTTTCTCCCTTTCTCTTCCTCTTCCTCTTCTTCGCTCTTCTCCCTGCTCTGCTTCAGACATAAAATGAGGGGAAAAAAAAACTACCCAAAATGACGTCGTTTTGGGCAGTCGGGGGATTCGGGAAAGAGAGATTCGAGCTACGAAGGATTATTCTTATTGAAATTTGGCCCATTATTTAAAAGTTTCAACAACTTGGCTTACTAATCAAAATTGAAAACAGAACAGTTTATATTAGATAAAAGAGTATTGTTTCAAAACCATGATAGTGAAAACCCTTTCTTTTTATCTAAGACTCTTCCAATTGTTTCAACAAAGACAGTAACATGGTCTTTTGGCTCAGTATTGCATGAGAATTAGCAATTAAATTCAATTGATGGCATTCTTATTGTTCTTTATTTTCCATCTTAATCTGATAATTAGACTTGAGTCAAAGTTTATCCAGAAAATTGTGAAAGTGGTTGGAGACAAACTAAGTCGCACAACCTTGGGTATTGCCCCCCACCTGATTGGAATATATTCTCGAGCCAAAAACATTGGGCTTTGGTTACAAGATGAGTCTAGTGATGTTGGTATAGTCGCAATTTGTGGGATGGGTGGAATAGGGAAGACAACCATCGCCAAAGTACTATATAATTTGAACTTCTCAAGATTCGAAGGTAGCAGTTTTCTTGCAAATGTAAGAGAAATTTTAAAACAACAAGATGGTTTACTTCGATTACAACGACAACTTCTTTCAGATATGTTAAAGGGAAGAAAGGAAAATTTGTATAGTGTTGATGAAGGAGTTGTAAAGATTAAAAATGCATTATGTTGCAAAAAAGTTCTTGTAGTCCTTGATGATGTGGATACAGTAGATCAATTGGATGCAATACTTGGAATGAGAGACTGGCTTTCTCAAGGTAGTAAAATCATCATAACCACTAGGCGTGAGCGATTGCTCAAGGCTCATGAAGTTTGTCGGGTGCACAAGGTTGAAAAATTGGACAATGATGAATCCTTAGAGCTCTTTAGTTGGCATGCCTTTGGGAAAAATTGTCCCATTGGTGGTTTCATTGAGGACTCAAAAAGGGTGGTACATTACTGTGGAGGGCTTCCATTAGCTATAAAAATTTTGGGTTCTTCTCTGTCTGGAAAAAGTTTAAATATCTGGAAAAGTCAATTAGAAAAATTGAAAGCATTTCCTGATCATGAAATCCTTGGAAAACTCAAAATAAGCTATGACTCTTTACAAGATGACCACGATAAAAATTTATTCCTCCATGTTGCTTGTTTCTTTGTTGGGATGGATGAAGATTGGGTAGTCACAATTCTGGATGGATGTGATTTTTACACAATGGTTGGGATTCAAAATCTCATTGATAGATGCCTATTAACAATTGATGAACGCAAAAAGTTGGTGATGCATCAATTGGTTCAAGAAATGGAAAGAGAAATTGTTCGGCAAGAATCACCTAAGGAGCCAGGAGAACGTAGTAGACTTTGGAATCACAAGGATTCCTTGAATGTTTTGAGAGAAAATACTGTAAGTATTAACCTTGTTGCTTTTCATGTTTATTTCTATTTATTTATGTAGTTATTCTATTTATATAGGAAAAATGATCTAGAAAAATCTTTGTATAATATAATAAAAGAAAATGGGTAAATTACACCACTGGTTCCTCTAGTTTGATCAAAGTTTTATTTGATTCTCGTAGTTTCAATTTGAACAATTTAGTCACTACAATTTTTATATTTTTTATTTTTTGCATTGTGGTCTCTCCAACATGTCTTGTTAAGATTTTGAATGGAAAAAAATTATATACAAAACTAGAGGGACCAAATTGAAATTCAAAACAAATTACAATGACTACCAGTGTAATATATTCATTACACTGATAGTCCCTATAGTGTGTTTGAATTCCAATTTGGTATATTACACCAGTGGTCATTGTAGTTTGCTTTGAATTTTAATTTGGTCCCTCTAGTTTTATATATGATCTTTTTCTATTTCAAGTTCTAACAGTAAGTAAAAATGGACTACGTTGCAACAAATTTGAAAGTGTAGGGACCAAATGGTTCAAATTGAAACTACAGAGACTAAAGTAGCACTTCGCTTAAACCATAAGGACTAACAGTGTAATTCAACAATATATATATATCATCTATGATAATATGACAATTGGATTTTTGAAATTATCAGTTTCATTTCTGTTGTTTTTATTTGAAAAAGGCCACATCATTTTGTATGATTGATCTTTGCAGAAATTATATTTTTATAGCATTACTCTTATTGATAAAAATTGCCCTCCTCTTGTTCATTGCCAGGGGACAAGAAAAATCGAAGGCCTCACACTTGATATGAATTTGTTCAAGAAAGACAAACATGACAGGACAATTTTTGGTGTTAATAGAAAACGTCATTATGATGAATTCCTCGACACGCCATTTTTAACAAATGTAGGCAACTCATTTAAAAGATATTGTTTTGGCATGTTCTCCTCGAAGAATGTAGGCACTGCTCAAGGAAATTCAAATCAAGTAACTTTGGAAGTTGATGCATTTGCAAGGATGCATAAACTAAAACTTTTGCAGCTCAATTATGTGCAAATAAGTGGAAGCTTGAAAAATTTTCCTAAAGGATTATGATGGTTATGTTGGCATGGATTCCCTTTCAAATCTATACCCTGTGATTTTCCTTTGGAGAGCATGATTGTTCTTGACGTGAGTTATAGTAGCTTGCAAAAAATTTGGGAAGGAGACAAGGTATGTTGCAAATGTATATATATATTTTTAATTTCGTATGAAAACTGAAGAAATATTAATAGTAGCTTTTTCTTGTTTAACAGCTTCTCAAGTCACTAAAAATCCTTGATCTTAGTCATTCCCATTACCTTAAAACTCCCGACTTCTCGAAAGTCCCCAATCTGGAGAAGTTGATATTTAAAAATTGTGCAAGGCTAGTTGAGGTTCACGAATCCATTGGACACCTTGAGAGACTTGTTTTGTTCAATTTAAAAGATTGCAAAAATTTGAGGAAGCTCCCGAGAAGCATTTGTATGCTAAAGTCTTTGGAAACACTTGACATCTCAGGTTGCTCAAATCTTGAGGAACTGCCAACAGGAATGGAGACTATTGAGTCATTAACAGTTCTCCATGCAAATTGAATTTCCATAAGTCAATTACTCTCTACCAGTAAAGAGGTCAAATCATGGCATTCATTCATCTATCCCTCTCTGTTGAAGCCAAGAAAAAGCATGGAAATTTTATGGGCTCTTTTACCACGGTCCTTGGTACACTTAAGTCTTGAGGACTGTAATTTATCAGATGATGATTTTCCTAGGGATCTTAGCAACCTATCCTCGTTGCAGATTTTAAATCTGAGTGGTAATGCAATTCGTAGCGTCCCAAATTGCATCAGAGGTCATTTTGGACTCCAAAAGCTTTATTTAATTGGGTGCAAAAAGCTCTGGTCAGTTGAAGTGCAGCACAAATTAAAAGAATTATATATCCCAGGATGTATATTGTTGGAGAAAGTAACCTTTCAATCACTTCCATTAACCCTAGAATGTAAGAACATATGGGGCAATCAATTTGTCAATAGCAGGTTAGAAAGAACATTTCTATCCCTGGACTCAGAGCACAATCTAGTTGAGATTGAGGGAGATTTCAAGTTTGAACCTCTAGGAAATATTGACATGGAGATAATTAACAATTTGGGCTTGTCCAACTTAGGATCCATGGGATGCTCAAATGTTATGCTTTCATGCCATGGGTCACAGAAAGCAAGGAAGTTTCCCCTGCAGGTCTCTCTCTCTCTCTCTCTCTCAGTATATACATAATCTTTAAATTAATTATGCTTTATGTCGCACAGGGATGTCATGAAACACACATATTCTGTGCTTATTGTTTGGGAAGCAAGGTTCCAGACTTGTTTAATCTTAAAAATGAAGGATATTCAATATCATTTACTGTGCCATCGCATCTTAATTTCAGAATCCGATGCTTGAGTGTATGTTCTATTTATGCACTTTCCAGTAAACGAAAAGAAGATTATCGCTTTAATTGTGATGCACATACTATTATCAGTAATACGACCAAGAGTTTGATTTGGAGTCATTCCCCATATGTCTTTGGCATTCCGGAAGCTGATGAGGATATGATGATGCTAAGTTATTGGAAGTTTGAAAATCAGTTGGAAAGTGGCGATGAACTGAATATTTCAGTGGTTGGAAATGAATATTTTCAAGTAAAGGAGGTCGGAGTCCATTTTGTGTACAAGGAGCAAGAAGAGAAGAGTAGCCAATCAACTAGTGAAGAAGCATCCCAACAATTCTCTCTCTATGGAAATGTAGTTCCCGGAAATGCATCTGTAGTACGTCCAGCGCGCAAAAAAGTATACAGTCTAGGCTGCCATTGGGAGAATTGTAGAATTTGTGATGGTCTATAATCTCAGCCTTCATGCACTACTACCTCGGGAATTGGTTGTTAAGGATTTCGATTAAGTGATATGAATCAGTTGTATATTGCTAGTGCCTCTGCTTTGTGATTTTCTGTTATTTAGGAAGAAGTTATTTCAGTGAGAGAGAAAATGTTGCTACTTTTCTTTGATTTTGATGATGCTGTGTACTACTGTTTAGGTGAAGCTACTGCTACTGGGATTATATTTTACTTTGGAATTGCTCAGAGTTATATTTTAATTTGGAATTACTCATATGCTTTGCTAACGTAAATCTTACTTACTGCCTGACAAAATCAAATTCAAATAGTCTATTTTAAAATAGGAGCACTGTTTGGATCCATGGGCTTCATCATAGATTTTATTTTGATAATTCGAACTATTCATTTTATCAAGCACTCACTTCCTCTATTTCTTTCACATAATAATAATAATAATAATAATAATAATAATTAGATCGATCTAATAATCATAACCTATTCAATTTATCACATTTTTCACCAAATAGATAAATAGTTTATTTTTAAAAACACAGTTGTTGTCCAAAATTTTGGTGTCACCTAATAAATTGAATATATCACAATTATCGGATCGACTTAATTTTTTGTATAGATGAAATATACGAAATATTTAACAAGATAAACAATTTAAATTATCAAAACGGAACCCATGATAAGTTCCACGAGTCTAAACAGTGTCCTCCAAAGAATCCTCTCCAAAATAATTTGAGAGGGTGAATAATAAATGAATACTAATCACCCACTTAATAACTGCTGACAAATAAAGTCAAGTTACAAATTCGTGTGTTATCATTTTAAATCAAAATATTCAGCAAAATGGATTTTTAATTTTTAAACGACATCACCTCATTTTAATTAATTATTCCCTATTTAAATTATGGAATCAAAGGTGTTTTGCCAGTCGAATATTTAGCGCCGGTTTGGTTATTATGTTGGGCTAAAAACTCACAAAAGGACAAAAAAGAAAAGTCAAAAAACCAAAAAGTCAAAAGAGCCAACAAAAAGTTTGTCATTCCAAAGCCAAAAAAGCCAAACAAGAAAACCAAACAAAAAAAAAGTTTCAGGCTAAAAAAGTCAAAAAAAAAGCCAAAAAGCCAATTAAAAAAATAATTGCCAAACGACCCTTAAGGTTGAAAATTCTGTTATGTTAGGGTCCATAGGACTCACCATGAATTCTATTTTGATAATCTAAATAATTCATCTTGTAAAGTTATCTGTTTATAGCATGGTCCGAGAAAATTAGGTCGATATAATAATTATAATTTTATTTTTATTTTATCATGTTTGTCTCCTAATGTCATTTATTTTTTTGAAGACAAATGCTTTGGTTTAGTTTTTTAAATGAATTTTGAATTTCAACTTGTATTTTAGAAAATAAATTTTTGAAATGAGTTTTGAAAAGAAAAAGTTTGATTGGTTATAAATTTTGAAAAGAGTTTTGAAACTAATTTTTGAGTTGTATATTTCCAAAACTAGTTTGGTTATGAGTTTTGAAAAAAAAAATTGAAATTAATTTTTCATTTAATTGGTTTTTTGAATTTTTATATTTTTGTAAAAAAATATTTATTTATTTATTTATATTATTTGAACAAAATGATTTTTTATTTTTTTTAAATTGTTTAAAAAAATTTAGACAAAAGTTCTTTTAAAAAAATTTAAATATTCATTTTTTAAATATTTTAAATATTTAAAAAATTTATTTTTTTATTCTAAATATATATTTTATTTTTATTAAATATTTTATTTTATTTTATTAAATATTTTTTATTTTTTTTAATTTAAAAATTTTGGATCTCCCATATATATCTAAATCATCATAAATTATTTGTCCAATTTTTTTATTTTTTTTAATTTAAAAATTTTGGATCTCCCATATATATCTAAATCATGATAAATTATTTGGCCAATACTTAAGAAAATAACAAAATATTTTTTCAAAAAAAATAAAAAAATATTTTTTTTCAAAAACAAAAATTTTAAAAATATATTTTTTGAAAAAAATAAAATATAATTTTAAAGAACAAAATAAAAAATGTATTTTTTTTTGAGTTTTTTTTTTTTAAAAAAAAATAGAATTTTGAAAACTTGCTGGGTTATGAGTTTTTTTAGATAAGTTTTTGAAAAGAATTTAAAAACTTTGTTTTGTTATGAGTTTTGAAAAGCAATTTTCTATTTTCTGATCCAAACAATGATTTGAAAACAAAACCAAATGCTACCTTCATTTTTCTCCCAAAACTATACTCGTCTAATCAATTTCACACTCGAACTTTTAGTATTATCAAGGGCAAATTACACTGACGGTCCCTATAGTTTAAGGCTTGTACCACTTTGGTCCCTGACTTTTCAATTGTGACATATTTGACCCTGAATTTTGAATCATGTTCCAAATAAGGACAATTGAATATGTCATTACTTAATTTTCAGGGCAAAATTGTCAATTTGATAAAATATAAACTAATTTGACAAAAATAAATGTCAAAAAAATATTTTTGAATTTTTAAAAATTATTTCTACACACTAAAGATAAAATTGCGTAAAATTGATATATCTTTTAGACATTTATTTATATATTTATTTTACCAAATTAATTGTTATTATGTGTTTGGATGATGATCATGTAATGGGTGGTTATTTTTATTTTCATTAAATTAGTTTCTATTTTTTCAAAAGTCAAATATAGCGACAACTTCATATCATTACTAAACCAATTCATTAAATCAAAAAATCCAAAACTAAAAACATTTCATATATTAAATATATCAATTCCACATTAAATTCTAATAACCATCCATTAAATAATTATCATCCAAACACATAATAAAAATTAATTTGGTCAAATAAATAAATGTTTAGAAGATTTATCAATTTTACATCATTTTATCTTTTGTGGATAGAAATAATTTTTAAAAATTTAAAAATATTTTTTTGACATTTATTTTTATCAAATTAGTTTATATTTAATCAAATTGATGATTTTGCCCTTGAAATTAAGCAACAATATTTTCAATTGTTCTTATTTGGAACAAAAATTCAAAATTCAGGGTCAAATGTGTCATAATTGAAAAGTTATGGACCAAAGTGACACGAGCCCCAAACTATAGGGACTGTTAGTGTAATTCGCCCTATTATCAATTTGCCCCCTAACCTATTTAAATAGTGATCAATTTACACCCCTGTTGTCATATTTAAACAGAAAAAGTTAAAAATATATATATTCTGACCCCAAATTTTAAATTATAGATCCAAACTCACCCTCTTCTACCCAAACTCACCTCCTCTCCTCTCTGTACCTCCACAACTCTGCCGGCTAGCCATTATCCTCTCTCTGCCACTGCAACCCCTCAGAGACAAGGCGGGCAATCCTACTTGGTTAAGAAAAGATTTGAATTTTAGGTGGTTGAGACTCGAAAACAAAACTGACCCACAAGACTCAAAGAACCAATCAGCTAGAAAATCAAAAGCAAAATCGATTTGAATCTTGTTTAATGCTGAATTAGTTGAAGCTTTTGGACTCTTGAGGTTCTTCACATTATCTTCCAACATTTCCAAAGTACCCAAATCTTCATGTCCACTCGATAACACCAAATGTTGTTGCTTCAATTTCAACCCAATCAAATTTGTAAGAAATCACACTTTGGTCTATTTTAAAATAGGGACCCACGCACCAAAGTTGGTAGGTCTATGTGGCAATGCGTTCTGTGCCACGTAACGATTCACGTCGTATATTTGGTTGCTCAAATCCATTATCGAGTGAATAAGAAATCAATGCCAAAATGAGCTCAATGGAAATGGAGTTTTGGTGAGGTTTTCATAAGGGATGGAGAAAAGGCTTGTCCAACATTGCTTGAGTGTGCAAACTTGGTGTAGGTTTACAAGCCTTGAGTTTGCATCTTGGGGAGGGCCCCAAGAGGTACCCAAGTTTTGTGGAAGGAGAGATTATGGGAAAAGTGGGCCTTAACCCATTGGACCCAAAAACTACCATGCACGTGCCACCGCCGCGTGGACCGGGCCGGGCCTAGGCGCGGATGTGAGGCTGGGATGGGCTTGTGTAGTCCAATGCTTATCTTTTTGGGCCAAAAACATTTTAATTTTATTTTTTCTAAAATTAAATTCTTACTGTTTGGAATTTGAATTTCGGTTTGAAATTCAAAATAAATTTCGAATTGACCCCAACGTTTCTGAACATTGGCAGTTTAGTCCAATGCACCTTTTCCTCCAACCCAAACAAGTTCTTTACCAGTTCAAATCCAACCTGAACAGGTTTTTTACCTGTTCAACTCTGTCCTAAACCTGGGTGTAGATGTGAGGTGTGAGGTGTGGTTGGGCTTGTGTAGTCCAATGCTTATCTTTTTAAGCCAAAAACATTTGAATTTTATTTTTCTAAAATTAAATTCTTACCGTTTGGAATTTGAATTTTGATTTGAAATTCAAAATAAATTCTGAATTGACCCCAACGTTTCTAAACGTTGGCAGTTTAGTCCAATGCACCTTTTCCTCCAACCCGAACTGGTTCTTTACCAGTTCAAATCCAACCTAAATAGGTTCTTTACCTGTTCAACTCTGTCATGAACAGCCACCAAGTCTCCTATAAATAGACAAATCTTCCATTTGGTTTTTCATTGAATTTTCATTCTTTCTTCTGCTTTTGCTTCCTGTATTTTGCTGCATATATTTTTCTATGAAAAAGAGTATAAACACAAAGTGTGTTCGTTGGACATTTAGTTTGTAATGCTACTACTAATTGTCATCAATCATTTTATCCTGGAAGATAGATGTCCACATTCTGAAGGTACCGTGAAGAGGACGAGTCCGTCTTAAGGAGACAGTGTTGAACACTGGACTTGATTGAATTTCCAGAGAAGTAATACTGTAAGTAGTTTGTTTATAATATTCATTTCAGGTTTCAAATTTTTTTTTTCAGATTCTATTTTATTTTTTGTAACAAAATAAGAATTTGTTTTCCATATTTTATTATTATATGTTCTGTTTTGATTTAAGTAATCAAACAGACTTTCTTCTTCCTTAATCAATCCTTCGAATACAGTCCAACAAAATCAATCACCACCATTGAATTGGGTTGGTATGAAGACGAACAAGTACTAGGATTTTGACAAGTTCGTTTCCAATGATTGTGAAAAGCAGGAGAAGCTAAAGGATGTAGTAATTGTTGTTATTGGTAGTGATGGTAGTGTGAGAAGGAAATAGGTTTCGCATCTCTCTC